AGGCCCAAATAGGCCGAAAAGCTTCGTGAAATGGTCTGTGTTGTCGGTAAAAAAATACTGAGATTTCTCCTAGCCACGCAGACACACTTAACCCGATTTTACTACAGTAGTGGCCGGCTATTAAGCCCACCTCGGGCCCAGACCAAATTGGGCTTAATAAGCGGCGGGCTTATTAACCGTGGGCTTAATGCAGCAGTCGCCGGTTATTAAGTCCGCATCGGGCCCAGACCAAATTGGGCTTAATAAGAGGCTGGGTCTATTGACCGTGGGCTTAATAGCCGGCGACTACTGTATATGTTTTTATGGGCATCCGTTACGTGGGTATCTGTTTATAGAAACCATTTGCCGCTGAGAGCTACATAGTAACTTGAAAGCGCGCATCCACCGCTCACGTTTTCTGCGAAGACTGAGGTAGACAATTAAATTGCTTTCCTTTATGACCTTCTGCGAAGGCGAAATGACGGACCTCTCCTGCTTAGGTTATTCCGAAGGAAAACCTGGACGGGACAGTACACCAGACTTGTTCCGCTTAATATAATAGGAAATGTAGTCCAGGGATTAGCAGCTACAGTACGACGGATCTGCTCTCTCCTGAAACTGTCGAAGGAGAATTCCAACAGCTGCAGACGACGCTTCTTGAAAATGGATACCCGGAGAGGTTGATGCTCAGGAATATTGGCGAAAGCGCCAAAATGCCTGCTACCGTAACCGCAGAAAAGAAATAAATGTTCAGAAGACTGCCTTTCTTAGGCGACCTCAACGCCCAAGTGACAGTCGTTCATTCCGTGCAAATAACAACTGTTGTCATTCCGTGTACCTGACCACAGCCCAGCGTCTACAACCTAACCCAATTTCCTCCCTTCCTCCCCTCCCCGAGCAAAAGGACCTCTAAACGCTGATTTCGCCATGCGGGCTGCGTTAAAACGATGAGTTGTAATCAAAGTACACTTATTAACCCTGTCCAACTGTACAATTGTCATTATCCTGCTTAAATGTTCTGGCCTGATTCAGAGTTGCTGAAAACGTATGTTTGCCAACTCGACTTTTAAAATTAAACATGTGAATCTGTGCAGAAGTGAAAAGCTGTAAACAATATAATAATATTTATTTCTATCCAGAAGCCCATCACACCCATGTAAAATAATATTGTTCGCATTCAGAAGATTTATATATATGTATACATGCCGTTAGGAGAAATAAAGAATGCTTACTACAAAAGGGTTTTAAAATAAATCTCAAAATGGTAGTAAGGGTCCCCATTATGACGAAACAGGAGAAATGTGCACACGGCCTACTACCATTGGCATTGCTCTACCTCGCGCTGAAGAACTGTCCGTTGTAGAAGCTTTCCGGTGTTTGCAAGAGCCCAGGACTTCCAAGTGTTTAATTCTGCTCTGAGAACATGATATTTGTATTCATATATGATTGAGTTGATATGTTGAA